GGCCTATAAAATGACTTGCGGTGGTCAGCCGATGTAAAAATCAGTGCTTTTATACTCCCAGGCGATTCTGGTACCACCTCGGAGGGGTTTAAGGTTTGAGTGGCCTCGGAGGATATTTATCCGGGGCTCGAACCCATGAACATGTGGCTTGGGTAGTAGTGTGCACATGCTACTACACTATCCCGGCCCTTGGATAAAATATTATATTTGATTTGTATGAATGGTCAGGTGGTGTAGTGGCAAGTGGCGCACTATCTCACACGCACGACCAGGGATTTGAATCCCTGACCGATATCGCCTTGGCCAACCAAGCTCTCCATACCTCTATACCTTCAGGGTCGGTTAGTTGGTACCAGACCCGTCTGGGAGGATAAACGCACTGACTTGTACATCGGCTGGCCACCGCAAATCATTGTATAGGCCACATACGCACTCATTACTCCACTACGACTCTGAATGGAAGTCGAGTGCGGGGCGCATCCCTCAGAAGGGATTGACTAACGCCAAGAAGTTTATCCTAACTTTGTGAATGGTCAGAATATTCATAATGATTGAATTACTTGTTTATGATGCTGTTACCTATTTATATTTACTTGTTTTTTAATTATTATTATTATTTATATTTATTTATTTTATATTTATTTATGTCCCAAATGGACACCGTTCGAAGTTTTCAAGTGCCGTTTCGATTAATTGCAAAGCTGCAAACTCAGAATGCTAGGATACGGACTTCAAGCCAGCTTTTTGATAGATATCGAGGGGCAGTTGTGGTTGCTACCCAATCATCCCCTGCTCTAATAGATTCGAAAAGAATTCCAAGTCTTCTCTCCCAAGATATAATGCTCGCAAGTCTTCTGAGGATTCAAAGATTAGACGATGGTTGCTTCCTGCACGAAAACAGCAGTCGTTCGCGTGTCAGCGGGGTCTCTTTCTTCTCCAAGACATGGTTTAATGGCCATAAACTTGTTGCATGCCTATATACCTAGTTAATTCACTTTTCTTATCAAGGTTAAATGTGCTAGTTCACAGGTTTCGTGTTGATGTTGATGTTGAAGTCGATGATCAACGATGTACCGGAAACCCATGCCCATGACGCATGTGCTAGGGTGGTTCCACCCAAATGAAATGTGTTCACCATGAGTGCACTTTTTTAGTGCTCACTTTCAAGTACTTGGCAGTACATGGAAGGCCCTAATGGGTAGCACCCTGATTGTAATGGCTCACCAAAGACCAGTTACTATTTTTTAGTGGGAAGATGAACAATTTCAGGGAACAAGGGAACGCCCATAACGAAATCACGGGTAACATTAGTATAAAAGGTAGGGTTGACAAAACGTCAATCGTACCGGCAACAAACATGCCAACCACCTTTAGGGATGAGATCGCCATTGCCGTGGCATCTCTTGCCTCGATTTTCGCAATCGGTGCCTGCCTCTTTGTGATTCCGTCGCTTTACAGTGAAATCAACGATCTGCATAATACGGTAAGAGATTTTTCGGTTCCCATCTATTGAGGCCATAAAAGGAGCTCCAGCAGATGTCAGAAAAGCCGTTGAACCAATTGAGGCGGCTAAATGGCAAAAATCAACTTTTCGTAGTCTCCAATAAAATTTTCATACATCCCCCTTCAGGTAATTGACTCGGTCGCTGTATTCCGCGTTGAAACCGATTCAGCCTGGTCCGACATTATGGACGTGCAGTTGACCGTGTCACCACCTTCGAAACCCCGTGTGAATCCATTCGATTCGATCTTTCGCCAGAAACGACAGCCTCTTCCACCATGGTGTATTTGCGAGATTCCTAAGATAACATGTCCACCTGGACCTCCAGGACCACCTGGTCCAGCTGGCCAACCAGGTAATTCCCTAACTCACTCTCTGTTCATTTTTGCATCTTTTCTGCTAGCGGAACAGATCTTATTTCAGGCAATCCAGGCCCTCCTGGCCCTCCTGGGAAGGACGACACAACTGTTTATGCACCTATTCATTGCCCTGCTCCTGACAAGGCTTGCATTAAATGTCCTCCAGGACCTCCAGGACCACCAGGACCCGAAGGACATCCTGGCCCCAAAGGAATGGACGGCAAACCTGGAAGTCCAGGAAAACGTGGACAAGACGGCAAGCCTGGCCCTGCAGGTCCTCCAGGAGAGGCGGGGCCTGCT